TTCGGTTCCCCAGGTGCTCGAGTGCCATGTCGGGTGACAACATCTTGCATGTTGAGATATATAGCTAGTGCGGTTTAGGATTATAAGAGATATAGATATACGTTCAGAATAGAGATTAGGAGAAGGGACCTATGGTGCGGTCTTGGACTCATGTCGTTCACATGGACACAACAGTGAATGGAATCGCGGAGTCAGCAATCGGCGTCTCGGCCAGCTGGCCGATCAACAAATGGCAACTCAGCGATATTAGTATGTAGAAAATGATGAGTCTTGGAGGGGATCTGGCGTAGCGTCGTGATATTAGTATTTAGAAATATATTTGAGTGATATTAAATTTATTTTTTATAATAGCAGAGATGAGATACAGAGGTTACTCTACATTATTTTTCATAATGACAGACGGTGGTAATTTAAATATGAAACTTTTTAAATGTGAATCTAAGGGTTGTTTTGTATTATCCTTCAAATGATAGTGACAGATAATTTAAATGAAAATTAGAGGGTTTTCTACTTACCTTTCATGGTATCAGTGGTGGGTAATTTAAATACAAGTTTAGTAGGCTAGTTTATATATTTTTCAAAATAGTATACTCCCTTCGCCTCAAAATAGTTGACACTTTAGCTATGAATCTAGATACACATTTGTCCAAATTCATAACTAAAGCGTCAACTACTCCCTCCATCCTAAAAAATGATGTTTTCAGGATTTTTGTAGAATAAATTAGTGCTCAACGGAAATTATTCATGTATTCCTTGAAGGTAAACCATACTAATTAAGGATAACCTCCTCAGTAAAAGAAATGCATGAAGACATGCAGACTACAATCTAATCCAAATCTATTTTCCAAGAGCTAAACATCAAATTTTCTGACACATATTTGAATCCTAGAACATCAATTTTTTGGGGGCAGAGGGAATATTTTGGTACATAGGGAGTAACATATTTGTTGCAACATGAAGTCAGCATAATAGTAACATATTTGAATCCTAGAACATCAATTTGGGGGGGGGGGCAGAGGGAATATTTTGGTACATTGGTTTTTTTAGAAAACAACAAATCCAATGGTTATTGTTACTATTATAATTAAAATCTACCAAACTAAATGTCAGATGTTCTAAGATTCATCTTTTTTAGTATATGTCTCATGAGGATTAATGCGCACTCTGTTAGAGATATATCATTAGTAATACTAGCAACATGTATGTGCGCCGGAATGCACATATTGTTGCGTTGCGTCGTCACCTAGACAACCCTGCGGTTTTGATATTTAGCAAACGTATCAGTGCGTTGCAACATGAAGTCAGCTTAGAGATTTATTCGATGTTCACACATCCTGCATTCATCTTGAAATCGAAATCGTACATGTGCTACTCTAACTCGTATATGAATGAAAGGCTTGTAGATTTTGTTCAGTAATCATGTCAAATGTTCTAATTCATTATAGGATCGAACACTCAACCATGTCTGAATAGCTGCTCTAACTTGTACGGGTATGGGAAAGAGTGAAGGACCACTGAAACAGTACTTTAATATTACTATGTATTACTATTTTTCAAAGAATATATAGTTCATACTTGAAAACGTATCCAAAGCACTGCTCTTACCTGCTCGGAAGTGGAGACCAAACAAACAAATTTTCTTTGGCAACAATATTACTATGTATTACTATTTTCTCCGGTCTGTTTTTCTTTATTTTTTTAGCTTCGTCCGTTTTTATTTACATCGTGAGTTCTTTTTTCTATCTCCACCGGTCCATCGTTCTTGACCCTTTTTTTGTTCTTTCTTTTTCTAAATTATCTCCTTTTTTCTTATATATAGACAAATATTAGCAAATATATCCGTGTGTTGCAACGGGAGTTCATTCTATTATATTGCTGGCAGCACGAACGCGGTTGCACGGCAGAGCCACACAAAGGCACAACGGCTGTGACGAGGTGGCTTGAATCTGCAGCACGGCAGAGAGACAAAGAAGGAAGAAGCAAAGAACAACGAGGACGGAGGACAGATTTCTTGGAACGGATTTAGAGTTTTTTCAATACTTGTCTTCTCTCCTCCTCACTCCTCTCAATTAGTTTTTTTTCCTTGAGAAACCACTCCTCTCAATTAGTACATCGGCGGTGGTTCAGTTTGGGCCAGCGACCCGGACGCTGTGCCGTCGAGAGCGAGGGGGCCGGGTCTAATTCGAAGTCCCCGGTTCCTCAGCCCGTGATGGATTAGTGCTAACAGCCGACCAATTACGTACACCCCCTTTCTCCCACAAGTTGTCATGGGATGCGTGTAAATCAAATTTTCTCAACTTTAACTAGATTTGTAGAAAAATGTGTGCAACATTCATATCTCCAAACAAGTTTATTATGAAAATATATTCTTTCATATATTCAATGATCCATCTAATCTATACCTAATGCTTAAAAAGGCATCATCTGTCTTTTCTTTACTTCTCTAATGTCCTCAAGTTTTGGGTATTCCGTACACGACTCGTTCTCTGCCTCCTCCGAATTCCTTTTCCAGTCCGGGTTTCATCCGTATTTTTACGGTTGCTCGCCTATGTTCTGTCTTCCAGCACATCCGTTCCGGATTTCATCTGTATTTTTACGGCTGCTTGATTGTGTTCCGTCTTCCAGCACGTCCGCTCCTTGGAACTTGTAGTCCCAGCGACAAAAACAACGCATGCAATAAACGCTAAAACTACGAGCCACAAGACTCGAACCCACGTCTCCAATCTCCAATAACAGAAGAGACACAACATATCAAGACACCGTATGCTTTAAGTGGTATAAAACAAAACCTTTTATATTTGATTCTTCTTTCAGCTAAACAAGTGTAAAAACATGGCATTACATGTATCACGTTCCAAAAATTCACATTGATTCGCCTTTGAGCCGCCACAGTAGCAATGAAGCAGCTGTACAGATATTTAGTTTGCATATTATTAGGTTTGACAGTTTATCTGCAGTCTTAAAAAATAGTTGATACATAAATACTTGATTTTCTTTTTTTTAATTTCACCTCAGCCGTAGAACAGTACCAGATGAAATGTTATAAATGATTAGGTCTAAGTAATTTTGAAGTGCTTGATGATCATCTTGATTCGGCACTACAATAACTCAATTGCATTAAAAGTGCCAGGGTTGCGGTGATTTTCTCCTCATGGGCCATGGGATTTGAACTAGAGTCCTGATTTTTTGTACCACGACGCTCACACCACAGGCGCACTGCACGGTGGGCATGGGAACAAGCCGAGCCAAACATGATCAAAGTGCGTCTAGCAAAATAAAAGCCACACTTGTGGCAAAAGTTTGGCAAAAAAATAAGACTATGCCATGTGAAAACGGTGCTAAAAAAGTATGACACATCGTAGTCGTGATAGTGAACAACACAACTACCTAAAAAATTATGGCACGCCTAGCTTATGACGTGGCAAGTTGTGGTTATAATCCAAACAAAGCCTAAGCCCCACGGCCATTCTTAGACTCTAAGAAAAAAAAGACTCCCGTTGCAATGCACGGGCATATTTGGTAGTGATACTAATTATGTATTATAAATATTAATATTCTTTTATATATCATTAGTCAAAGTTAAAAAAACTAATTTCTTGAGAAACCGGAACGACTTCTATTTTGGGAAATAGCAGTACGATGCACCATGGGACGGTCACTCCACGATCACCTGAAGCTGAGGCCTGCACCAAGTTCTCCCGTACTTGACCTGCCTCCTCACCACCATCTTGTCAAGCTTGCTCCATGGGCACTCCAGCTCCGGCGGCACCACCTCCCAGTCCTAGAGCCCCATCTCTCGCACGCACCAGTCCTTGAGAAGAGCCACACGCTCCAGCGACTTGCACACCCTGGCCAGGTATCTCACCAAGGAAATCTGCCGTAGCATCCGCTCGAACCCGGCAAGCACAAGCTCCTTGAGATGATGGTGCTGGAACGTCGATCGCTGCCACTGCCAACTTATCTCGCGCCCAGGTGGCGGTGCTGTAACCGGGTGATGGGCTACGTGGATGTGCAGGACCTCCAGCGACGAACGATCCAACGCTTTGACCCCGTGAACCGGACGGCGAGGCTGCCGATGATGGGCGCGTTCTCTAAGAAGCAGCCGAGTGCATCGTGCACGCCGGAGCTCTGCCAGGGACGGAGGCAGAAAATCGACGTAGGGGGGGGTTGTTGACGACCAACCATAATAGCATTAAGCTAGCGAATTGCGATACACTATCAATGATGTTTTCTAATTCGATATAGACTTACTATGTATTATTATGTTATTGCCAACGTAAACTTATATTATGGATATCATGGGCATTGTTGACAACCAACCATAATAGCATTAAGCTAGCGAATTGCGATACACTATCAATGATGTTTTCTAATTCGATATAGACTTACTAGGTATTATCATGTTATTGCCAACGTAAACTTATATTATGGATATCATGATCATCATAAAATAAAATATAATTTTGTAGAAAAAGTAAAACACAAATAGATATGTAACATTCTCTCATCCTTGTTTTATATGAATATTTGATAACTTGCTTTCCGTTGCAACACACGGGCATATTTACTAATCCAAATAAAAAAAGATAAAAGTAGAGATTAGACTAATCTTACTATATAACGTTAAACCCTGAAGAGTTTCATGGTTTTCTTTTTTTTGTATTTTTTGCGTTTATTTTGTATATATAAGTTTCGTTCTGTTTTTCTCTGTATTTTTTTCCGTTGTTTTTCTTTTCAAGTCCGTTTCCTTTTTTTTAATTCTGTGCCCGTCTCTTCCCAGGTATTCGGACATTGGACTGACTGGGGACCGGCAGGGACGCGCGCGGCAAGTCGGTACAGCTGTCGATAAACATAACCCCACGGCCAAGTCGGTACAGAATCGATTCCGATTAGTTTTTCAGGTGGTAAACAAATACGTAAGCGCACCGCCGCCTGAAAACCCACCTGAAAGTTGGAGGCTCGATCCGCCGCACGCCCGTCGCCCAACCCCAGCCGACGAGATGGTGATGTCGCAGCTAAGCGGGAGCATCAAAGGCGCGCTAGCGCGGATGTCCAAGGCAATGCTGGTGGACGAGAAGGTGCTCAACGACTGCGTAAACGAGATCTCGCGCACGCTCCTGCAGGCCGACGTCCGCTTCGAGACGGTCCGCGGCGTGCAGGCCAGCATCAAGAGCACCGTCAACCTGCAGGCGCTCGCGGACGGCACCAACAAGCGCCGCGTCATCCATCGGGCCGTCGTGGCCGAGCTGCGCCAGATGCTGGACCCCCGGGAAGCCGTCCTTCACCCCGAGCAAAGGGAGGAAGCCGGCCAGCGTGGTGATGTTCGTCGGCCTGCAGGGCTCCGGGAAGACCACCACCTGCGTCAAGTACGCGGACTAGCACCGCCAGACGAAGGGGTTCAGCCCGGCGCTGGTCTGCGCCGACACGTTCCGCGCGGGCGCCTTGGACCAGCTGAAGCAGAGCGCGACGAAAGCCGGCATCCCGTTCTACGGGAGCCACACCGAGTCGGACACCGTGAAGGTCGCCGTCGACGGCGTGGACAGGTTCAGGAACGAGGAGGGCTGCGACCTCATCGTGGTGGACACGAGCGGGCGCCACAGGCAGGAGGCCGCTCTCCTGGAGGAGATGCGGCAGGTCTCGGACGCCACGAGGCCGGACCTGGTGGTGTTGGTGATGGACGCCAGCATCGGCCAGACCGCGTTCGAGCAGGCGCAGGCGTTCAGGCAGAGCGCCCCGGTTGGCGCCGTGATCGTCAACAAGATGGATGGCCACGCCAAGGGCGGCGGCGCGCTCAGCGCCGTCGCGGCCACGAAAAGCCCTGTGATTCTGGAGGAGCTGATAAAAAAGGGAAACTTCACGCTCAGAGATCTGCGCAAGCTGTTCCGGGCAGTGCAGAGTATGGGCCCTCTTGGGCAGCTCGTCTCTATGATACCTGGTGGACTCATTAGCGACAAGTTTAATGAAAAGGGCGGGCAAGCCAAGATGAAGAGGTACATGACCATGATGGACTCCATGACTGATGCGGAGCTTGACGGGACCACCGCGAAGCTGATGAACCAGTCGCGGATCAACCGGGTGGCTCGGGGGTCCGGCAGGCCCGTCAGGGAAGTGGTGGACTTGCTGGAGGAGCACAAGCGAATGGCCAAAATGATGAGCAAGTTGCCAAACGTCAAGAGACCCAACGACATAAATCACATAGCCAATGCCATCCCTCAGGAGCTGCTCAATCGGTTTGGTGGCAAATTTGGGCTGCAGAAACTCATCAGACAAATGGGCGCCCCCCAAAGTAGATGACTATGTAAACCCTTTCAAGTCGTGGGCGCTAACCGTGCTAGCCTTACAAATGTATGTATGTAGCTATATGATAGATAGACTGTGTCGTGTGAGTACAACTCTACTCAGGTTTTGCTAGGCGTTAGTTTCTTTTTTGTTCATGTTTCTCTCTTTTGGGGCTTTATTATAGGCTGAACTCGCCTCATTTATTAGTATATAATCTTGGCAAAACTCCTACCAGCTTTAGGGGCCGTTCGCTGGTCTGGTATGGACCAGCCAGTCGGCTGCTCCCCTCACAATTTACTGTTCATCAAACCAGCCGAACAGTGTTTCTCTCACAACAACCAGCCAGTTTCAGCTAAGTTTCAGACCAGCGGACGAGACCTTATTTAAAAAAAAAACTGTCAGGCGTTGCTCACACCGTGTATATAATTTTTTTTATTATACTAGATATGTTGCCACCACAGCCAGGCTGCCAGCCCCTGACCAACAGGCAACAGCCCAAGTGACCATGACCGCAGCGCATGACACCAGCAGCATCAATCCAAGTCTGAAAGAACCGTAAATGTCAGAAGTAATGGCAGCCATAAGCAAGCATGATTATGATCTGGCAGATCTGTACCAACACCTGAAAGCGAGATCTGTCACAACATCAATGGCACATGCAAGGGCCTTAAACTGAGCGTGAGCAGATGAGCTACTGCCATCAAGCATGCATTATGGAACGATGATGTCGACACCGGTGATCTTTCATCCATTGCTCCTTTTTGCTTTTCTCCACATGACAATTAATTACAAAGCAACCGACAGTTTAAATAACAGATCAGAGAGTCGCAAAACAGACTTATCAGACTTACCTACTGATGGTTTACAGGATGGAACAAATCCCAAGCATCTGCTGCCTGAGCATTGTTTCAAAGACCGATCAAAACCCTGTTTAGTCCCACCTTTCAAGTCAAGGTATCTAGAGCTGTAGAGATAGGACAGCTAAAATCTACGGCCTGTTCGTTTGGCTGTGGCTTGTCGTAAACGATCGTAAATTTCCAGCCAGAATAGTATTTTTCTCTCACACAAACCAGTCAGCAATACTTCTTCATGAACCAGCAACGAAACGAACCAGCCAACTGAACAGGCTGTGATAAAAAGAAAAAAAAAATCACACCCGCAGATGATATGTAAAATTCGAATCATTGTTGCTGCTTCATCCACAATATAATTGGGAGCTCAGATACTATGGAGGTGCTGGATGGCTAAGTTCATACACCAGTTCTGGTTACAACTCCAGTCTTGAAATATATTATGGTCAACAGACAAGCACCATGACTCATTGCCGCTTGCTGTCAAGCCTTGGCGATTGGCGATACGGGGAAGCATGAGGGCCATACGAGAGGCTCCTCATCGGCTGCTGCCCGTTCCGCACAAAGTTGCTCTGTGCTTTCATGCTTTGACTGCCATGTGGGTTGGCAAGGGCTGTGCGCCGCTCATGTTGCATGGACTGGAAGAAGTAGGAAGAGCTGGCCATGTCCTTGAGGTTCTGGAGAGGCTTCAGAACCTCCACCACTTGGCTCATCAGAGGCCTAGCCTTGGGGTCACGGCTGAGGCAGGCATGGGCCAGCTGAGCCGTCTTCTGAGCACCTTTTATGGAAAAGTTCCCATCCAAACGAGGATCTACAAGCTTATAGAATCTGCGTCTTTCTCCCAGATAAGGGCGTGCCCATTCAACCAGGTTGTGTTCTCCATTTGGCCTGTTCTTGTCCATTGACCTTCTACCAGTCATCATCTCTAGTAGTACCACACCAAAGCTATATACATCACTCTTTGATGTCAGGTGACCTGGACGAGAAAGGAACTCATAACTTATAAGCAGTAGGAAACACATAGAAATTTAATAGGCTCCTGAAACAATACCACCCTCAGTCTCAAATTATAGGTCGTTTTAGCTTTTCTAAGTATGTAGATTTTGCTATGCACCTAAATATACGATGTGTCTAGATACATAATAAAAGTTGTGTCTAGAAATGCCAAAACGACCTATAAATTAGAACAGATGGAGTAGTATCTAGCCTACCTAGCACCTAAAAAAGAAAAAGAAACTTCAGTTTACTCCAAATCGTATGTGCATGTGTGTCACACACAAAGTTTCTGCGTGTCACATACACAAGTTCAGTGTACTAGAATGCAAGCAAGCTTACAGCACATGCATACACAGACACACAACCTCAACCTACAACACAAGTTTAATGTGTGCCGAGCACAACTTTCGTTCACCCCAAATTGTATGTGCATGTGTGTCACACACAAAGTTTCAGTGTCACATACACAAGTTCAGTGTACTAGAATGCAAGCAAGCTACACATGCATACACAGACACACAACCTCAACCTACAACACACTGCCATACACAACTTCTGTATGTCATGTGCGCACACACACATGAGTGTTTAAGTTCACTGAAGTTGTGTGTGCACACATGTCCATGTCTGTGTTGTGTGTTACACACACAACTCCAGACCTTAGAATGCATTGAAGTTTACAGCATTTTAGCACATTATTTTGACAAAATATATAGGGCTGGCTGACATGTTTACAGAACACCTAATAAACAACCACACGAAATATCCACTACAAATATGAACATAGATTAAGCAATATCATAATTTATCAACTCACCTGTCATTACATATTCAGGCGCAGCATATCCATATGTTCCCATGACCCTAGTTGACACATGCGTTTTATCACCCTCAGGGCCATCTTTAGCAAGTCCAAAATCAGAGAGTTTTGCGTTATAGTCCTGAAAGAATATGTTAGCAAAGACAATTGTATGAACGGATAGAGTTAACATTTCAATACAGTTGCTTACCGCATCTAGAAGAATATTGGATGTTTTGAAGTCCCGATATATTACTGGTCTTTCAGCTTCTTCATGAAGAAAAGCAAGGCCTTTGGCAGCACCAACAGCAATTTTCATTCTAATGGCCCATGGGAGAGGCAATGACTCTATTTGATACAATATTATACAAAATATTGTTATTAGATGGGTATGCAAAGGTTCAAGATGAAATTATGACAAAACAAAACAACTTGACATTGGTCAAATTTGGCACATAAAATCCTCTCAGCAATAGCAGCAAACAAAATTCTCAGTAACAGAACTATTACAAAGTCGAAACCCAATAAATGGAACTCAATTCATTTGATTAAGAAAAATAGTAACACTCTAACAAGAGAAAATGTAAAATGGGAAATATGTAAAACCACCTACAGCCCATATTAATGGTTAAAGCTTCAAACAAACAACTAGGAGAGAATCAACATAACACCTTAATCATTTCCTCATGAATTCCTATATACCAAAGGGCCAGATCAAGATGTTAGTAATTGTACTCTGTTGGCCAAAAAATTATTCCCTCACACAGTGGGAAACTTTGTGACAAACAATCCCCTGGTCAGTTAAGGTGTCCATACCACTTGTGTTAACCAAAACCAAAGTGCTCGTGCACATGTGATGACCAAAATAGAAGTGACTGTACCACATGTGTTAGAATATCACACTGTATCTATCATCACAAGAACAGAAACGCTAACATGGATTAACCGATAGAAAGGAAAAAAAAAAGATAACAATAGCATATGTGTTACATAAAACTAATAAAGGTAAGATTAAAAGATACTTGCTTCTAAAAAGATGATTCTCCAAACTTCCACGGGGCATAAATTCGTACACAAGCAACCTTTGGTCATCTTCAATGCAGTAGCCAACCAATTTCACTAGATGTGGATGCGGAAGGTTTCCAAGAAAATCAACTTCTGCCTGCAGACAAACAATGATACTTTGCTTAGTGACGCATTAGCAGAAAGCTGAATAATACTCTCTTCAACTAAGTATACCAAGGAAAGACAAAAACATACCACCCACTCTTTATGCCCCTGCAACCCATCATGGTTAAGTGTCTTGACAGCAACAGTTAATCCAGTGCCTGGCTTCACAGGAGCAGTTCCATTCTCCTCAATCCATCCTTTAAAAACACAGCCAAAACCTCCCTCGCCAAGAAGACTCTCAGGTCGGAAGTTTCTCGTGGCACACTTCAGTTCATTAAAAGTAAATCTACGCAGTTGGAAAGCTAGTTTTAGCTCCTCTCCAACTATCGAAGAATGTGAGATACTTCCGGTGTTACTGGTTGTGGTGGAACCAGAGGCTGGTGGGACTGATTGGTCCTGGCAACCATCATCAGTCGCTGGTTTGGTTTCTACACATGTAGATATATTATCTGTTAGGTGATAAACACTTAAGGATGATTCAAACTTGAAAACGCTGAGTAAGAGCGCAATTGCTATGAAAATTTTTAGGATTTAGTTTTTCAAACCAAATCTCAAAATCCTGAGGATATGAATCCAAATCCTCAGATCCAGACAAACCCTAAATAGTAAATATTACTAATAAAATAACTATCCATGTTTCCCATTAACAGATAGTGAATCTGGAACCAATCAACCCCACGTATAATTCATGAGACAGATTCTACATCCCATGGCAAGTTCCATATGCATAACTATCAGCACTGAGTATAGTTCAATGTTACATCTGATAATTTTAGTGTGTATCACATAAATGCCCTATGCGGTGTGGCTTAGTACTAAGTAATCCTAACTACAAAGTATACTGTCTAGCGAACCAATCAGAGCACTTTCTATTTTGGTTTCCCAACCACAACTAAGGTATACCACTCGACATTCACTTGACACTCCATTCAAAGGAATTCATTTGTCCACATTCCAACTTTCCAAGTGTGCTCAACCAATTTTTTGGGTGTAACAGAAATCCTTGGATCCTGTCAAAAAATGGTCCTAACTATTTTGTTATATTTACAGCCAAACATGTGCCTGCAAATCAGCCAATTCAGCAATTCTACACATTTACAAATAAACGAACAGGAAAAGGACAAATGTTAAATTTAAACCCAATTTGAGCATCTGTCTGGCTCGCGCCAACATCCACCCATCTTGCAGCAACCAAACCA